CCAAACGGCCCGTACCTTCCTCCGTCTCCGTCTCTGTCTCCGTCTCCGTCTCCTCTCCCTCTCCCCCCCTCCTCTTCTCCTCTCCTCACCTGATGTACTCGGCAAGGGCCATCTTCGTGCTCCCTGACATCTGGCAGTGATGCCCGATGAGGATCATGCATGGGACGCTGTCGGGGTGTCGGAGGAGGAGGCGCAGGACGAACTTGTAGTGCTTCTTCTGATTTCCTGCCTTGTTCACCACCTGGTTGAACAAGTTCCAGATCGCCACACTGTACGGCTGCAGGTTGCACGCGTGCCGCACAGCATCGTAGGCTGCCAGCGCCTTTCCGGCGTTGAGGGACACAACCACAGCCCACAGGTGCAGCTGCTTCTTCTCCTCTTGCTCCGTGAACCTCCCCGGCACCAGCGCCTCCAGCACCAGCTCTCCTGCTCTGTCCATGCGTCGGAGGTGCGTGAGGGCCTTGAGGGTGAGGAGGACGAGCTCGAGGTAATGCTCCGACCCCAGAGCCTGGGGAGAGGAGGAGGATCAGACGATGATGCACAAGTGGTGGAGGACAAGAGCAGAAGGCGAGGAGACAACGGGAAGGAGCGGGAGCGGGAGCAGGGGCAGGGGCAGGAGAGGGAGCAGGAGCAGGAGCAGGAGCAGGAGCAGGAGCAGGAGCAGGAGTAGGGAGGAGGAAGAGTCTCCGATTGAAGGAGAAGGAGAGGAGGGAGAGGCAAGGAAACAAAAGTTCCTCACCTTCCTCATGAGTTCACAGCTCGGCACCCCGTCCTCCTGCATAGATCGTATGAACTCCTCGTCCTGCTGCTCTTCTCCTCCCTGGCTCTCCTCGCCTGCAACCCTCCCTTCCTCTGCACTCGTGCACTCGGGATCCGCGGGCGAGGTAGCAGCAGCAGGAGCAAGGGACTCTTCAGGAGGAGGAGGAGGAGGGGTGAGAGTTGCAATAGAAGATTGAGCGGGGAGGGAAGTGGAGGAAGTGGACGAGTAGAGAGGAGGAGGAGGAGGAGGAGGATCAAGAGTCGAGGAGGAGGCAACAGCGCCTGTTGGAGGGGACGGAGGAGGAGGAGGAGGATCTTCGAGGATTCGCTCCTCAGCTCTGAGCTCCGGCGCCTCTTTGCGTCTCGTCGCTGCAAAAGGCAAGAGCGAGTGAGCAGGTCGAACGCTCTCAGCACAGAGCAGACCGTTGAGCTCGCAAGTCAAGACCGGCTGCTGCGACTGCGCCTGGTCGGACTTGTTGGGTTCCGCCAGAGGTTGAGAATCTTTGCGACAGCGTCAAGACATGCAGGAGGACAGAGGGCAAAAATCTCCCCACCAGCTGCTCTGCTCTGCTCTGCTTCCCCGGCCGACCGCTTGTTCGAGACGATCTTGACATACGTCAGAGAGGAAGGGAGAGGAGGGGGGGGATATTTCTGGCCCTCTGCCCTCCTGCATGAGAGGGGGGGGGGGGGGA